TAACCTTGATGTTCATTGTTCGTTCATGCATATATTTAAAGTATATCACCAACGTTCCAGCAAGCGGTTGAATGTTCTCATGAATGCTGCATTGTCGCCGTGAGGAGATGCATAGTTTATTTCTGTACACAGCACAACACAGAGGCTGAGCACGTGTTTTTTGTGTATGTATCGCAGGCATGCATGAGCTGCATGTAGACCTACAGACTATTTTCCTAAGGGCTGCGGGCTTACATGACGGCGGGAAATGCTTTCCTGATGCTCTCGTGAGCCTAGAGCATTTTTTTTTTTGCTGTTTCTCCAGCCGTAGACCTCGCCTCGTTGCGATACTTGCACCTTTCGGTAGCCCTGTCTTGCGAGGGCCCTCCCGCCGTGCCGCGCGCTCTCGAGGCGGACTGCGTGCAGCGCTATTTACCGAGGGTAGAAAGTCGCGTCCCCGAAGTCTACTAACCTAACCCATTCAGCCCGGTTTTTGACAATCCAGGCCATACATTGCTATGTACACACGGTGGTCTAGTGGGTAGCCTCGCAGCCTGCTAAGGGCCAGGTCATGGGTTCGAGTCCCGACAGAGTGAGTTTGTTCTCGCTAATTAAATCCTGGTCAACGTTAGAAGCGACGCGCTGCAAAGCTCGTTGTTTGTAAACTTGATCGACTTCATAAGTCGCGAGGGAAGGGATTGCTGTACCCTTCTCGCGATAAAAATATCTCAGGCAGGAGCCGCAGGAGGGGCCCAACCCCCCCCTCTTATGTGACCCCGGTTAGGTCGTCTAGCTGGTAGAAGTGGAGGATAGGGGCCAGAGGGGCAGACGGCAGAGTCCAATGATGGCAGAGAAAACAAACAAAACACTTCGCCACACGCGACCACCGAGCAACCAAGTCTTCGGATGCCATGAGATAATGCACCCTACTGCTGTAGTGCGTCTCCCTTTCGATCCCGACGAAAGCGGGGGTTGTTGCGTCCGCTTACGTGCGCACAACAGTCTGCAAACTAGTCTATTCCTCAACCAGGAAACCGGCCTGAAGTAGTTTTCTCGGAATGCCATTTCTTGGAAGATTGCTCGGGCAGGTGCAGCTGCTGTGACGGACGGTGCACAGCACCCGAGCACTTTGGGGTGGGTTGGGCATATAGTCTATATCCTAGGTTTTCGGACTGGTGCAAAAAATGTGTACAGCAGTAGGTGTAGGCTTCGGAACCAGACATGAGTACACGAGCTTATGAAGAGTTAAAAGTCATCGGGGTAAACATCCTCTCCGCCGCCCCATCGGGATACAGTCGTGGGCCCGGTTTAGCGGTTCATTGTGTCCCAAAAATATGTCCCACCGCCGCTTTCAGGGCATCGCCGCTAAACCACTTTAGCGGTCATTAACCGCTAAACCAGGAGGCTCAATAGCGGTCATGAACCGCCAAACCGGGAAAAAGCCCATTTTCGCCCTGCACGAGCGTCGTCGAGCGCTCATCTTGATAGGGCCATGTGTTTCATTGCAGCAGTCATGCGAAGGTGCAGATGCAGAAGTAACGAGCCAAATAAGGACAACGCCGCAAGCACATTTATTAAATTCACATTAATTCGCCAAAGCACGCAGAAATTATTCTCCCTTCTGGACGTTATGCCCCTCATCGAGACTGGAAAATCGTTCGCGTCTCTAACGAGGTGAAGGTGATGAGACAAACATGTGACAACGCAATGGTAACCAACCACGTGCTTGAGCATCTCATTCCTGCCATGTGTCGCGTATCGATCATTCTTTACCCAAAATAATCTCTCTGGTATCTGCCTTGCGCGCTGGAGGAGCGGCGTGCGCTGCGAGGAACGCCATTTTTGCCTCGTGAAATAGTGTGCTGCTTCGTTTTTCGCCACACCACTCCGCGCTTTCCACGCTGGCCAAAATCCGATGATAGCGCAGAGTATGGTGGCGGCACCATCACCCCGCTGCCCTGCACACCGTCAACTTGTGCCGTGGTATCTAGCCCTAGGTCTAGGTCGTCGTGTCGTCGTCGAAGGGGTTAGGCCCCCCTCCATGTACATACTGGACAACTTTTATGCAAAGCCTCGGCGATCTCTTCCTGTGCGCACTAGTTCTGAGTGCGCTACCTTCTGGTTAATAAGCTTCAAAACCTCGAGCTTCTAGCCGAAGTAGAACCGCGTGTGGGGCTGTTGTGTAGCTGCAGTGCGAGTTGTTTCTTTCCGCGCGCCTGGTGCTAGAATGCCACCTTCCTTCCCTTGGCGCTTGGGCGAATTTGAGAAGTGAAGGGAACTCTGCGCCTTCTTGGTTGCACGCCGGTTGCATCTCGTTGTCATCCGGATCCTCCACCTGCCCACGCATGCCGTGTGTGCGGCCGCCACAGCAACCCTTACAATCGTGGGCGCCGTTTGGACTCAGTGCCGCATCTAGAAGCTTGCACAGTTCTCCATCCATTCGCCGCATGGTGTATCTTAACCATAAGCATCGACCGCGCTAACCGGTTGACCAATGAAAATACGGCGTCGTCAGTCTCAGCGCGGTTGAAAACACAAAACACTTATATACGTCATTAACTGGGACCCCGTGAGGGGGCGGCATGGGGCAGGCAAACGCTGTTCCCTGGATTACGGACAGAAATGGTAGCAACAAAGGAAAAATGCTACCTTGCACTCGAGTTCGCTTTGGAGTGCTTTCACCATCATCCTGCTTGCTTTCACCATCACTCTCATCGTCATTTTTTCAGCTATTTTCGGCAATTCTTCTCGAGCCGTGCGTCGTTTGGTGTGTGTGTGTCTCTCGCTGTGTCCTTTTGATTATGAGCATCGACCAGCTAACAGGCTGACCAATGTCGCTGTGCTGTGAGTATGTGTAGGCGAAGTACGCACTAGGTCCCCGCAAAAATTGAACCAATAACCGCTATTGGTAGCTGAAAACATGTCCGAAAACCGCAAATGAGGGCACGACCGCTTTAGCGGTTGTAACCGCTAAACCGGGGTGCAGCCGTGTCACGAGGTTTTATAGCCGCTATTCAGGGCATCCCGCTAAACAGGGAACCGCTAAACCGGGCCCACGACTAAGTATGTACTGCTGTGGGTTTTGCCCTCCGGATGCGGCACAATAATTCCTAATTCTACGTCGAAGGAGGTGCACATCCGTACATGGTGTGCTTGTTAGGTGGGGGTGAGATGTTGAGGAGGTTTTTGTTTTTTAGTATGTAGCTTTCGTCCCCCTTTCGTCGTCGTCATGTCCATACGAGATCTACGGCATTGTCCTACCGTGTTGCCATCGTACACGTCTTCCACATTTCTTCCACACTGATTAGTAGCTTGGCATCAACAGCTTTCGCTGTCATCTCCGTACATGGGAGATCTGGGGCACTGTAGTACCGATGTTGCCGTCCGCGTCTTACACATTATGTGAAAGTAGCTTGCCGTAGACTATGCGTACTATGCGTAGATTCTCTTCGACGTTTGTGTGTAAACCCTTCAAACAAGTTCGTATATGATCGTTTTTTCGTGTTCGTCGCCCGACGAGATCTGCGACATTATGGTGCAGATGCCATAGAATCGTCTTCCCGTTTGTTTGTAAGTAGCTCGCCGTGTACTCTATACATGTTCTTAGGTTTTTGTATGTTCCTTTACGGTTGCTCTTTTTTGTACATGGCTTTCGGTTCCTGTCCGTACGCGTCTTCCATAATGGTAAGTAGGTTGCCGTTAGCTTTTGCTGTCATCTCCACGCGAGATCTTCTGTGGCATTGATTGTCGTACCGGTTTTCTCGTCCGTACCCGTCTTCCACATTTGCAAAATATGGTTTACTGCGGAAGTACATGACACGCTATTCGACGTTTGTATATAGCTTCCTGTCGATGTTTGTCAGCAGAAACAACTTTTCCAGGACAAACTTCTTCTTCCCTCTCCTTTCAAATTCAACTCGCACGCGCTTCCCATCGTGATGGAACGTACGAGCACTGCGGCGACCGCCGATAGCGGTCGTCCGCGAAGCTCCCTTGTATATATGTGCACGCATCGTAGTACGAATTGTGCGTAATTTGTCACACCCTGTACAACTACGATAGTTGGTAGTTGCTCCGCGAACAACTCTCGATTCAGAATCTTGTGCAACTAGTTCCTCGCGAACAACTCTCGGTTCAAAATCTTGTGCAACTAGTTGCTCGCGAACAACTCTCGGTTCAAAATCTTGTGCAACGAGTTGCTCGCGAACAACTTTAGGTTCAGAATCTTGTGCAACTAGTTGCTCGCGTGCATCTCTCTGCTCAGAATCTTGTGCAACTAGTTGCTCGCGAACAACTCACTGCTCGGAATCTTGTGCAACTAGCGAACTACTGACAAACTGCCGATAGTTGCCTAGAAACCAACTATGTAGTTGGCAGTTGTGAAAACGTGGGGAAAAAAATGCTGAGTAGTTGAAGAGAGGGGTTTGATGCTGCTTGATGCGGGTCCGATGCATCACGCCTCACTAGCTAAATGATCATGGCCACTGTGTTGCGCGGGAGTAACAACTTGAACATCGACTGCACATGAAAATAAATCCAAGATTAGCATGCTGGGCCGTGTGAGAAATGGTCAACACCGTTTGCGAGGACTGAAAATACGCTGTGTTATTCTGAATATTAATGGATATAAATACCAAAAAATTGGTACTAGTTATTGATGTTTTTTGTTTTACCTACCGTCCCTGCCGATCTCAATCAAATCCCAAACAAAACGAACTACGAAATGCTCCCGGAACGTGCTTTTTTTGTTTACCCAACCCAGCCCCAGGGCACCACTCGTCAATGCAGATCCCCCAAAAAGCAAGCACGAATTGCTCCTGCAATGTAGCTAAACTAAAATGTATTTTGTTGCCCAGCGCGGCCCCAGGGATCTTCCGTGCCACCCCGTTCCCCGGCGCCGTCTTGCTATAGATCATCATCGTCGTTCGCCTCCTCGTCCTCATCATCACCCTCGTCCTCCTCCATGAGATCCACCGGGCCGAATGCACCGAAAAGCCCCTCCAGCACCGGATTGGGGTTCTTCAACCGCCCGGGCATGTGTTTGTTAGTCGCGCTGACGGGGCCGTCGGTTGGCAGGCTGGGATGTCCTCCGGAATGAGGTCCAGGTTACCATGCAGAAACAGGATCATTTCCACGTACTTGGCGTCGGTGGTGCTCCTTGAAGAGGTCATGATGCGCCCAGCGTCGCCGAAGTCGCCCTCAAGCACCGCCGCCGACGCTGGAGCTCCGAACACCACGCGGGCTGCCCGGGCCAGCAGTGGGTACGAGCTCATCCACCTCTTCCACCACTTTAGCACGCTGTCGCAGCTAAGTTCGTCGATTGTTCGCTTTTGGAGCGCGTACGATTGTTCGCTCCAGGGTGGTGTGTGCGTGCGAGCGGTGTGTATTCTGCACACGGGCCTCATGCCGCGTCCAGGTTGTGCACCCGAAAGTGTTCTTAATTTTAATTGACAACGAGCCGGGCAATTAGTTAACAACCACCCGGGTAACTCATCTCTAATTTTTATCTTCAATTTTTCTTTGCAACTACCCGGGCAACCAGTTGCCCGGAAACAAATAACTCTCCGCTCGGAATCTTGTGCCAACTATTAATAGTTGCCCGCGAACAACTCCCTGTTCAGAATCTTGTGCAACTAGTTGCTCGCGAACAACTGTGTTCAGAATCTTGTGCAACTAGTTGCTCGCGAACAACGCTCTGTTCAGAAGCTTGTGCAACTAGTGGCTCGCGAACAACGCTCTGCTCAAAAGCTTGTGCGACTAGTTGCTCGCGAACAACTCTCGGTTCAGAATCTTGTGCAACTAGTTAACTACGGACAAACTGCCGATAGTTGCCTAGAAACCAACAACCGCTAACTTGGTTAGTTGATAGTTACAGTTGTACAGGGTGCGGTAATTACAACTAGTCGGGATGAACTAAATGCTTAGGTCAGCAAGCGACCACAGTTACTTTTTCGAAGAAGGAAGCGACTACCCGCCGAGAACAGAATGAGTGATGTAACGTGACGTCCCCGCCGGAAGCTCGTACAATGAGACGCGCGTTTCTTAGTGAATGTGAACGTTCAACGTATATTCTCCGGCGTGCAGGCCTGAGTTGTCCGATTAGGGCGCACTGCGCGGTGTAACACTCGTAGCCCGCGGCGAGGTCGTGGTGGAAAGACTTTTCTGGTCGACACGGCGAAGGGAAGTCAGTAGGAGTTCTTGCGCGGACCAGGCGAACGGCCGAAGCATATATCTTTAATTGAGGGGCGGGTCTGTTCTCCCAGTTTCGCTCTTAGCACTCGGGACTGTGCGGCTGAGCACTCTAACTTTAGTATAAGTTTGAAGAATCAAATAATCATGATTGTATATAGGTCACAAGGTTCCCCTTCGGGACGTTGGTGTCAGGCCCCCTGGGGGCGACGGAAGTAGCTAAGGGAGGTTCAAAGTCATGGACTTTATCTTAATGTTTGATTGTGCTCGCCGCCGTACAAAACATCGTTTGTATGACAGGACGGAGGAAGTGGAAAGGGTGGGCCGACGAGGGTAATTCGTATGTTAGGGTCTTACAACTGTTTGTGCAGCTGCAATCTCGACATGGGTTGCATAGGCATTTTGAACAGAAATGGAAATGCAGGTACCTATTCCGGGACACTTCGGTAGGGTTGTTCAGGGTGACCAGCTTTTTGAATGTTCTCTGAATTGATTCCAGCAAAATTGGAGTCGTAAATAGTGTTTTGTCCAGAGCCTGGTAAGAGGTTATGGAGGTTGTCACTCATGTGGTCGACGAGTTGCGTTCTGACCAGTTAGTGCATGTAGGGGTCATTGAAAACTTGACGGGCAATGCATGTTAGTAGGCATGCCCCATCACCGATTTCATTGACAATTTGCCAAGATCCTTAGTTGTTGTTGTTGCCGTTGTTGTTGCCCGCACCACCGCTGTCGCCATCATTGGGCGTTGTGCTGTTGCCATTGTTGCATCTTTCGCCTCGGCCATGATGACGAGGTAGTTGAATGTCAACAAAAGGGGGGGGGTTGACCAGTGGCTTCAATAATGAACTCAGACAAGACGAGGTTGTGCACGTGGGGCACGACGAAGACGAGATGATCATGGTCACGAGGCATCGGATATTTCGTCCCTACATTTTGTGCGGCTAACGGCAAAGTACAACTGACCGTGGCTGAAGACCGATACCAAGGTCGAATAAAAAGTTTGTCCTTGAGACTTGTTGATGGTCACAGCGTAACACAATCTGAAGGGGAATTGGTAGCGGTGAAAGGTAATATCGCGCGCTCCCACGTTGACGTCGAAGCCACTACGTGGTATTTGGAACGATGGGAGATTCATCGGGGAGAACTTCAACGTGGATAACGCGCCTTGAATCCCTCGGTCAAGGTTAATGTTCCTGATGAACATCAATGCTCCAACTTTGAGGTTGAGTTTGTGCGGTGGCGTGCCGGGGACGTTGATGCTATTGAGATATTCGACGGAAACATCTGACATGTTTTCATCGTCTTTGATGATCTTTTCTACACTATCTTGTTCGTGAACACTTTTTGGCATTTTACGACGGATTAAGTCATTGATTTGGTCATTGTTATCATTTGTAGGTGCTAGAATGCCAGGGTCGTTATAGATGTTGTGGTTAGCTTCTACAAGGTCGGGGTAGAATTTTCAATGAGGTCTTCAAATTCCGTCGTTCCGGCGATTGAACATGTAGTTTCGGAACCATGGTCATTTTTGACTATTGCAATGGAATAGCGGCGGTAGCGGCGGTGCCATCGGCTAAACGTCAATTTTACCCTCTCCAACAGCAGGAAGACAGTTTCATCGCTTCGGCGCAGGTTTGACGAGCCACTGATGTATGGCGTCGATTCATCGAGGGAAAGAAAGAGGGTGCAGGCTGCTCTGGCGGTGAGACTTGAGGTTTGCGATGTGGGGGGAATGCACAGGTAGACTTTTTGCATGTGGCAAAAACGGAAGTGGTAGACTATGAGGGTATGGTAGGAAGAGCCAGCGTGAGAGCGAGTGCGGGCAAGACGGATTTTTGTATGGCACGGCAGATTTGTTGCTTTGGTTTGGTGCAGATTTTGGCTTTTGACGTCGTTTGAAATCGGATTTCCTCATGTTATAGGCTCATCAGCTGAGGCACATAGTTCCACATATGACCAGCCCCGAGAAGAGGGAGTACTGATGCAGATGCATACGTCGCGTAGTACGTTGTTGATGCTGCTGTGGTCTCCGTGCGGAGCGTGCAGCTGGTGCAGTCATGGCCCGCAGCCCTTCGCCATTCGGAGACAATCGGAGATCATCAAGTAAAAGATCCCAATAATTGGGGGACTGAGATGACGCGTCAACCATTGAAGTATATAGCTGTGAAAATGCACCTTATTACATGTACTACACGTGCGCATACACACACAGCAGTGTATGACGGCTACAGCAGTGTAAGACGGCTGTTGTGATGCTGGTTGATGATAAGGTAATTTTACTGGGTTAATCGTACTTGTACGCGGGCTGTGCTGGCTGGCAGCCATTCTGAGGTTACGAATTTTGGAAATCTATATGCTTTAGATCGGCCGGTTCTGTTTGTATTCGTGATCACAATTCGGATTGTTCTGTTATAGTTGTGATCCAATCGCAAACTGGAGGTGAAAGGTCAAATCAGAGTGGCTGCCAAATATAATAGCCAGCCCCACAATAAGGAGCTTATTGATGCAGATGCACGTCGCGAAGTATGTGCTTGTTTGTGAATAGAAACGTTTTGTTATCCGTAAGAAGTGTTCGGTGATGACCCGCATCAATACGGATACAATCGGACATCGTCAAGAATATGTCCGGAAAAATGTATCGGACATGGGCGCGTTCTCATCAACCATACAGTATTCCAGCTGCAATATTATGTGTTTGAAGTGTACGTGTGTGAAGATGCATGTTCCGTATATATGCAATTTCAAACCGGAGGTGAAAAGTCAAAGCGAAGTCGCGCAGCTCCAGCATGCAATTGCATCACATTCTCTGGGTGGTGAACATGCACCTCACACACCGATGCTGCTGTGATGGTGCTTGAATAGTCCGATTATCGACCGCCGAGCCTACTCCGTGTCCCTGAAGGAATCGCGAGAAAAGACTTGCTGGGGCGAGAGAAAAAATTCCGAGGTATGGAAAGCGACCAAATCTCAAATGTACATACTTGTACAAGGTTACCCTGCGGGAGGTATAGGTGATTTGCCTCCCGGGGGCGACGCAAGAGGACACGGCCAATCAATGCCATCGCGGTCGCATGGTTGGTGGTCATAACGTTCGGTAGTGCCGGCTTGCGTGCAGCGCTCAAACTAATAATTTTCCTGGAATTTGCGCATATGTGCGGGTTATTTTGTTTTTGTTCCGCCGTGACTTTCCCTTGTGAACGAGTGAGTTGTTTTTGCTAGCGGTTTGCTGCAGGTCCTACTGCCGTACTCCGCCGCTGCGTTTGATCACTTCCTCTTCTTGTGTGATTGTGTTCCCCATGGTCTGTGGGACTTTTTCACGCATTTACCAACAACGGAGACACTCAACGTGCCCAAGAACAGTCAGGTAGATGTAGGCTGCTACCGTACCAAACTTTTGTATTTGACTTTTTCGATTTTTGGAATTGAAGTGTACAAATTGACCATTGCCAGAGTTGTGCGAGAGGACTTCTATGTCGCGTGGTGTGTTCCCGTGAGCATCAAGGGTCTTGATCCCGGCTGTGGGTACACATGCGCCAGTTCCCGTGTAGTGGTTGTGTGCAAAACAATCACAGCAGCAGGTGTGTGTGGGCGCGTGGGCGCGTGGCGCGTGGTTCTGGGTAAAAAATATGTTCTGTTTTCAGTTTTCTTGCCGTTTGAGGAGTCTTGCATGGTTCGGATTCCCATCTCCTAAAAAAGAGCCAGTCCCAGCGACTTTAGGCGGCCCTAATGCGCACCACCGGTGTCTCGCGAGCCCCACACGTAACGGGTATTGTACCGACGGGTCCTCTGCATGCCATGCAAAAGAAACAGCTAGAAAAAGCCCTGTCCCAGCGAAAAAAAACCACTGCGAACAGTAAAAAAGTTGAAATCTTTCATATTCATATATAAACAGGGGACGATCAAAGCTCCCTGAAAATTGGCCATTTTTTCGGTTCCTTGTTTGATGATCTTGTTCTTTTTCCCATCCCAGTAGAGATAACTGGCCAAAGAACCCCTTCTTATGACGTATTTGTTTCGCCAACAATGACCGGAAACAAATGAATACTCTTTTTGGACACGCTATCCTGTTATTTTCGGGCAACGTTTGAACGGGTTGGGGCTGCCAATTGAACGTTGTCCTTGTTTTGTCACAACCCCATGAGTTTCACGCACAAACTTCAATCTCTCAACAGTCGATCCCCGCAAACTGGAACTAGGGTCACACCAGCTGTGTGATGTGACTGGTACAGAGCAGAGTCGGTAGCATCTGCGGTAGCCGTTGTTTTTTTTTCAATCGGCTGGACCATGTGGACCACCCGATGTGTGCGACAAACAGGCCGAGAGAGCCTGGACCCATCAGCGGCGGGTCATTTATTGCAAACCAAACTTCTGGGCGTCCTAAAACCTCCTGGTCTGTACGATGACCATACTGGACGGACCGTGCACACAGCTCGTGGCCGATTGTTGTTGCTTCAGTGGGGTGCGGAGGATCACCGTTATACCAATGTTACGGCCGCATGCTGCACAACACATGAATGGCCTTCTTGCTGCGTATTGTATAACAGTAGCATGGTCAAAACCTTTGAGCGATGAAGTCGATGGCAGCACAATCTCATGTAACATACATGTGAGCTGTGCGAACGGTTGACACCTTGCTCACGTAGCGGTGCGCATCTAACACCGACGGCAAGCGTATTCTGAAGCCTTTGCTTCAGTCCCATCGTTCGATATCCGTGGGTGGAACTTTCATTCACATCCCCAACCCCTGGCCCCACCCGGTCTCATATGCTGATCTCGGGCTACAGTCCAAATGTCGTGGCGCCTCAAGTATGGTTCGTGACCCCTCTCCGAGTTTGAGCAGCCTACACCTCCTGTGGCTGGCACGACTCGGCCTTGACTGTTACCTGTCTGTTTCGCCATGGGAACGACGGGTAGAAAACAGCGAAAGAGGGTCCTGCGTGCTGCGCGCCATCATCTCCTTTTTTATTGCGTGTGATTTTCTTCCTGAGTGACCGTTTTTCACATGCGGTTGCTGCTGTTATGCTGCGAAGGTCGTCAGGTTATCGTATCTGTCGCTTGGGCTGCACGCTGTGCTCGCGTAGCAGATGCGCATCCCTGATGTTTTTCTCTGTGTAGATATCGATGAAGGAAGGCAACCGCAGCACGGTTGAAGATACAGCCAACGACAGACGGTCTGCCGTAGTTGTTTTATTTTCTTGCTGCATATGCATGGGTGCTAAAGCATCGTAAGCGTGTTGCACCTTGAGTCTGCTGCGCAGTCGTAGAAAACTGCACGTGTCTACCAAGGCTGCTACCTTACACTAGGGTTCGATTTGGTGCTTTCATTATCATCTTCCTTGCAATAGCAAGCATCGTTTTCATCACTCATACAACAATTTTTGATTTTTTCGGTAGATCATATCCCTGCGTCGTTTGTCGTGGAGGAGGTCGTCTGGCTCCAAGCTCTTGCTCTCTTCCACGCCATGATTCCCTACTCGATTGCGGTGTTGGTCTATGGCTTGTCCTCCCGTTCCCTCTCCTCCTTCGCCGCTGCCAAACGAATTCCCCGCACTGTCATCACCGTCGTCTTCATCGGTACTACAGTACTACTCAGATCCCAACCTATTGGCTGTGGTGGAAAGTGGTCGATTAGTGGTCCGTGACTTTCGAAAACATCACGAGTTCGTACTGATAGCAACCGAGCCAGCTCTAAAGTAAACCGTCTCCGAATGCTGTTTGTATGATGGGCATTCAGTCGAAGCAAGGATATTTCGTGGTCGAAATTCCCCGTGCAAAGACTTCGTATGGCAATGGGTGGCGATGGCTGCGATTAGTCGGTTTGTGCCTTTGCCAAGACCACCATACGTTGGAAAAGCAGCAGTAGGGAGGGTAGATCTTGACGGCTTGGGGAGTTCCCGCGTAATGATTTGCCTTGCTTCCAGCTCCATAGTCGAGGCGGATGTGTGTGTGTACTTCCTCGAAAAGATAGCACCCAACGGGCTATCTGCTGTTGTTGAATGATGTGCACGTGTGCGTGCACGTTGCGTGTGGAGCCTGCAACTGCAACACAACTGAGGTGTCCGTGCGTCTGAAATTAAAGCGAGTACCGCACATACCGGAGTTATCGCACAGGGGGTGTTAAGAATTCTTGATAATATCGCCTTCAGGGTCTTCAGTCAGGACCGCACAAACTGAACGCATCGCACAGGGGTGTGCCGCACAGTGGTGTGCGTTATATACCAATACCAAATGAATGTATTCGATTCACAGGGTCCGGATTCATCGCACGGTCTGGAGTTGTTGCACAGGGGTGCGATGCAAATTAAACGGCGAAAACGTTTGAAGGACGACCGCTCAGTATTGCGCTGACTCGCAACCTTACGGTATTCCTTCGTTGAAATCGAATCTAATCCGAAACAATTCCACAAGCAGAGGCGAGAGTGCGCGCTCCAAAGTGACAACAAACAACGTCATGAACACAATACTGCTGTAGGTGCATCCGATCAGATTTGCCTACCGCAGTGTATCGCTGTGCCTCCTGTGACGAGAAAGGTGCTGTTGGACACAGCGATCTGTGTTGAAAGGAGTCAGTCAATCAGAGTGATGACAGCAGCGATATATTTCGGAGATGAACAGCCCGAGAGGCCACTGTTCCTTGGTGTCTGGCTGCAAAACTGCATCCATGTTTTAATAATTTTTTTTTTGAAGAAGTGGGGCCCGTTTAGGGGTACGCTTTTTGTTTTGTTTTGCAAAAAAAAAGCTGTTTAGAAGGATCATGTGTGGAGTATGTGCGCACGAGAAAAAGAATGATTTTCATGCACAGGGGCGTGAAAATTTAGCCATNTGTCTGCGCGCCCTAAATACCCAGCAGACTCGAGCCCATTTCACCATCTCGGCACTAAATTGCAAACTAAAACTGGCGCANTTTAGGGGTACGCTTTTTGTTTTGTTTTGCAAAAAAAAAGCTGTTTAGAAGGATCATGTGTGGAGTATGTGCGCACGAGAAAAAGAATGATTTTCATGCACAGGGGCGTGAAAATTTAGCCATGGCTGTCTGTCTGGTGTCTGTCTGGTGTCTGGTGTCTGGTGTCTGCGCTCCCTAAATACCCAGCAGACTCGAGCCCATTTCACCATCTCGGCACTAAATTGCAAACTAAAACTGGCGCACAAGTAAATATTTTGCCCGAGCTGTCCCAACCGCTACCTTTGCAATCCGTGGTCGGTGTCTCGAGATAGCACACCGTTTGTGCAAATATATATGTCACATGGACGCATCCCCGGGAGGC